ACATCTGTTCCCATAAGAACCAATTACTTTAAGAGGAAGATGGGCATTGAAGAGGCTCCTTATGGAGTCTGTAAGCCATTTGGGCAAGAAATTGCTCTTGCATGGACTGCTTGATGTTATGCTGTGTGAGCTGGACATGCAGGATCCATAGAGAGATAACTGCTAAACTTGCCTAAGGGTGAGATGGTCCTTTGGGGTTCCTGCTTCATAAAAGAATCTGCCAGACATTCTATAGGACACAGAAAAAAAGTGACTGACAAACTGCCAAGATAGGCAGACTGTCTTTGAGATTTCCTGATTTATGGGAAAGTCTTCTGGATTCTATGGACCAGTAGGCTGAAGATGGGTTCCCCAATGATACAGAAGAACTTTGGGTGAATGTCTAGGCAGCAAGATGTCTGTCATTTCTAGAGTTTTGGAAGTTGCTTACAATGCACTTTTTGTTTACTTAGGTAATATTATATCCTTCTGGAGTCTTTGATGAAGTTGAAGAATAGATAGTTATAATTAGTTTTCCATAGTTATGATAAAAGATAAAGTAGATATAAATATTGTAACTTTAATTCTTCCTTGATACCTGTTTTGTTATATGTAATTTTACTATGTTAAAGTTAAAGCCTTTTTATTTAAACAGAAAAGGGGAGGTGATGTGGGATTTCCCTCTGTATGCTGTGAATACCATTGGTTAATAAAGAAACTGGCTTGGCCTGATAGCATTGAGTAGAGCTAGGTGGGGAAAACTAAACTGAATGCTGGGAGAAAGGAGGCAGAGTCAAAGAGAAGCCATGTAGCCCTGCCAGAGACAGATTCCGGAACTTGACCTGGTAAGCCACAGCCTCGTGGCTGTGCACAGATTAATGGAGATGGGTTAATTTAAGATATGAGTTAGCCAGATATACACTTAAGCTATGGGCCAAGCAGTGATTTAATTAATACAGTTTCTGTGTGGTTATTTTTGGGAGTCTGGGCGACCAGGAAATGAACAAGCAGCCAAGCAGCCTCCTACAACACAATGAAGTTTATAATACACTGCATCAGGGAGGGTCTGTCACATGCCCCGAATGCCCTCTGAGGCATTACACCGAGAGAACAAGGACAGGAAAACACACTTCCCATGTCTTCAATACAAAATAATTTGATGATTTTTTACAAAAACATGGTTTTCCCGCCATTGCTACTGACATAAATGCATGACACTTGAAATTAATTCTTAAAAGTTTGTGTGGGAGACCCAAATATGTCACCCCCAAACAAATGATTGCTGAGCCAAAAGCAGTGAAGATGGGGTACATGCAGGAGAGCTCTGCCCTCCCTCCACCTGCCTAAAGACAGGATACACTCAGAAAGACAGAAGACTCCCCCCCAACCAACGTGAACAAGCTCACATTCTCCTATCATGAGAACAGGTTGACCACATATTGCAAGTTTGGACCTTAGGCCCATCTACCCAAACTGCCTCATTCTGCCTGTTATTTGCTCTCCTTCAAGTCACCACACCTGGATACTCCTCCTCCATTGCCTAGCCACTTCTCAAGATGTGATTCAAAGCTGGAATTCAAAGCCACTTTTTTTTTTTTTTTTTTGGTTTTTCGAGACAGGGTTTCATTGTGGTTTTGGAGCCTGTCCTGGAACTAGCTCTTGTAGACCAGGCTGGTCTCGAACTCACAGAGATCCGCCTGCCTCTGCCTCCCGAGTGCTGGGATTAAAGGCATGTGCCACCACCGCCCGGCTCAAAGCCACTTTTTTGAGAGCTCCTCATTCTCTGTGTGTCTCCCATGAGTATATGAGATATACATGTTAGTAAATTTCTATTTGTCTTTGCTTGTAAATCTCTCTTTTGTCATACGTGTCTCTTGCAAACTAAGAATCTACAATGGTTGAGAAAACGCTATTAATCCTTATAACTCACATACACATTCACCAACATGTCAAGCACAGTATATCGAAGCTTAGGGTTTAATTTCTTAAATTATAATTATTAATCAAAAGATAGATTAAAAATCAGAGGATAAATTTTTATACAATAACACCCTTGAAAAAAATTCTGAATTAAGATGTTGATATAAAACAATTTAAAATTCTAAGAAAATATACTTCAAATGTTAAAACTGCCCAACATGTACTTAAGCATAATCAAGCATTTTCAGACATGAAGTATTCAATAGTCATTAAAAAAATAATGGTATCTACATAAGCATACATTCATCCTAAATTCATGGTTTTGCTTATTGGAAAACATTCCTACTTAAGTGAGAAAGCAGCTTATTTGACAAGTTATAAATCAAGACAGTAAAATATTTATTTTCTAGGGAACTTTCACATACAGCTTCTTAATAATTTATTTAAAATGAGAAATCTAAGCCTTTTTGATCTTGTTCAGTTGAGAATAACACCTTAGCCAATAGACTAGCTTTATTGTTCATACTTTAGAAAAATGGTATCAGTGAGAAACATGTCATAGAAATCCCCTCTGCAGACTGTCCTTACATCTACTAGAAAGTCCGGCATTGCAGCCAAAACTTTAAAAACATCTGGAAATGCTTTCTGTTTTTTGTTTTTTCTTTCTTGTGTGTGTGTGTGTGTGTGTGTGTGTGTGTCTGTGCGCGTGCGCGCGCATGTGTGTATTAAGTGTTTAGAGTAAGGGGTTTCCAGACACAGAAAGACAAACATTGCATGTTTGCACTCCTAGCGAGTCCTAATATTTTTAGATTTCTGTGTCTAACTTGGAGGGTCTGTGGAATTTAGGGGTGTCTCAAAGAATCCCAAAGAAATGTAGGATACTGTCTTTTGCTCTTGGTTGCCTACTGGAACTTGATGATAAGACTCTGTTGCTGAAGAATCTTGGGTCACAAGACATGGAGAAATCAAGTAGGCACTGACTAGGGAGGTTCCTCCTTGCTGCCTGTCTTTCATAATGCTAGAAGTTGCTATGCAGGCTTCTGGGGTGTCTGTCACTCATCAACAGCAGTGAACCCAGTGAGCTACTGTATCGAGTGCCACGGTGAGATGTGCCCACGGATGCAACAGCAGCATGAAGGTTTTGGGAGCAACCAGCTGCTTTCTGCTTTGTTTTAAGGCTTGAAACAGGAGAAAACTCATGCCTGCTACAGTAAACCTGGCTAAGAATCCATGGTTGGGGAATTGTTAATGCCCAGAGGACGACTTACTACAATCATTTTGCTAAATGGAAATAGTATCAGATTGCCCTCTAACTTTGTATCTCTATACCTAGATTAGTGCAGTTCTTAGATCTCCTGAGGAAAGTTTCTTTGTGCAGTGGAGGACAGCTAATGAGGAAACACACAACCTGTCAGTGTGCAGTGGAGTGTTCAACCAGCCCCAGGTGTGACAACTATTATCACACCCTTGCCAGTCATCTTCCAGGACATTTCTTTTTGCCTTCTGGACTGACTCACCTGAAATTCAAGTTCTATCTGCAGGATTGGAACATTTTTCATTGAGTGATTATGATACAAACGTTTAAGATGCTTAAGCCCTGTGGTGGAGTGTGCAGTCCCTACAGTTTACGGATTGACTGGGTACCAAGTGCTCCCTGCTAGGTCCTGTTTAGTTTGAAGGTACTCATTGCTACTTTTCTGATAAGGAAAGCAGGTTTTATTTGAGGCTAAGAAAGTTGGAGGTATGAGGGAGTCTGCCTCCAACAGTACAAGCTCGAGACAATGCCATAGAGCAACATGGAAACACTTGCTACTGCCTTATCTATGGCACCAGGTTCCTTCAACCCCAAAGTCAGCTGGAATGAGATCGTGTAGCATGCCAGGGGTGGGCTCTAATGCAGGATTCTGCCCGGTGGGGGAAATGCGGGGGGGGGGGGTAGGGGGTACGGTGCTCAGGTTGGGTTGAAAAGGCACTTCCAGATCAAGAGTACCTTACAATCTGAGAAATCTGCCATGGCTGGACCCATCCAACAGGAGCCAAGCCACTCCCGTGTCTAAGTCCCCTCACTTCCCGCTCTAAATGTGCACAAAACTGCTGGAAGCCTAGGGGCGGCGGGCGCGTCATCGCCATAGCCTTCCGCCTTCCCACTCGCTCTGGGCGCACGTGCTTAAAGAGTCCCTGCCCCTCCCGCCTCCGCGCGCGGGGCCGCAAGTTTCCTCCGAGAGGCGGGCGCGCACCGCGTCTCTTCGCCACCGCCTCCCCGGCCCCCAGCGCTGCAGTCTCCGCCCGCGGGGAGGGCGCGCTCCGGAGCCGGCAGGGTGGGGCGCCTCGAGGGAGGGGTCCCAGCGCCGCAGTCTTCGCGGCGCCCGCGACAGCAGCAGCAGGTGGAGCCCCGCTCAGTCGCGAGCAGCACTTGGCCGGAAACCCGCGCCACGGCCGCCCGGCCGGGAGCTGGCCCGCTAGGCTAGAGCCCACGCCGCCCCGGTCCGACCCAGTTTCCCAGGCACCGGGTTACGGAAGCCGGCGGCCGGGGGACCGCGGTTGGGGCCGGGGCCGGATGCATCTCCGTGCGCACAGCTGCGTTGGAAGACCCCAGCCCAGGGTGCAGGACTAACGGGACCTGGCTCACCTCGGCCGCCACCTAAAGACTTGTGTTGGGGGACAGATCGGCTGTGGGATTGAGGACCTTGGAGCCCCCGCATCTGGTCGGACGCTCCCGGAGTCTGGGTGGTGCGCTCGCTTCACCGCTCTAGAGCGGACAGAGAGGCTCTTTCCAGGGGACCGGACCTCCTTGACTGGTCCTCTCTGAAGTCCTCGCACCCGATGCCTGTTGGTCTCAAGAGCCTCCCTAGTTGACACAGGTCTGCAGGTGTTCTCTACTGGTTAGATTTCCTCTTTGGCTAGGGGAACAGTTGCCGCCAGCGACATTCTGTGCCAGTGGCCGCTCCACGTCCTGGGTCTCCCGTCCTGCCCGTATCTTGCCGGCTTCACTGACCCTCAACTCTGCCTTTGCTTGTTGTGCGTGCTCCTAGCCTTTGGTTTTACTGGGAGTGTGCAGACGTTTTCCTGGCTCCCATTTGGGAGGGCACTGGTCTCCAGGGATCGGCTTTGTGTGTGGTGGGATCGGGGTCCTCAATCATGGCCTTCACTTTCGCTGCTTTCTGCTACATGCTGTCCCTGGTGCTCTGCGCTGCGCTCATCTTCTTCGCTATCTGGCACGTGAGTAACCTGCTACCGGCTTTTAACTCTTTTGCCCCAAAGACCCCCTCAACCCCACCCAGGCCCACTTCGGTTCCTCATTTCACCTGCCTTCTACACATCGCAGGCGTGGGCGGACTGTGAGGCCAGATAGAAGCATTTGTTGAGCAGACCTGTCTATCTCCCTTGTCCCGGGGCAGGAGACACAATTCTTGGCATCCCCGAGGCCAGGCAGTACAGGTACTGGGCGGGCGCACCTTTGCCCTGGCTGGAGCTTGTGACTTGCGGATCCTCTGCTCGGGGCACTCTCCTGGGCGTGGCAAGGTGTCCCGGGCCGGTTCCAAGTAGTGGCTTAAAACCCTATCTGCCGGGCTGCCCCCTCCCCACCCCCTCCTGCAGAAAAGAAGAAGCGCTGCTGGTGGCCCAGGCAATTAGTCAAGTAACTATAACAACTAAACATTTAAAATGTCAGCATCTGTGGTGGGTTGCGTTCAGACATAATTGGAGACAAAGTGGAAACACAACCAGAGTGCCTTGTAAGAGGAAGGAGGGAGAAGCCAGGCGGGAGGGGAGGGAAATCAAGAGGGATGGGAGTTAAGAAGAGAGAGGGAGGAAGACCAGGATAAATAAGGTTCCAGTGTGATCTGGTCAGGCCCATCATCCCTGGGACCCTGGCTTCCTTCCAGTATGGAGAGCAGATGGGTCGTAGGTCATCAAGTGTGGTGTGGCGTAGAGCCCAGGACTCCGGAAGAGGAGTAGGTCTCCTGTGGACTGAGCCACATTTCACAAGCCCTTGACCCCTTAGCTTCCTTCTGAGGCTGGTTAAGGTCCCCATTCTCATCCTGGGGAGGATGATCAGAAGGGGCCAAGGTCCTAGTGACTGATAACCGCTGTTGGCAGCCTTGCCCTTCCAGCAAGGTGGGGCAATAGGAGGGACCCTGAGACCAACTCCTGGAGGCTCTGGGGAACCTTGGAGAGCTTGTGTACAATAGATGACCCAGAAGGGAGAAGACTGGGGAGTAGTTGAGATGCTGGTGTTTTGTCTGAGTGGTTTCTAGTGTGAGAGGGTTTGTCTTAAAATAGAACCCTGCATCTCCTGCCATAAGGGCTGTGGCAAGGAACAGAAAGAGAGTGTCTGGGGAGGAGGAAGGGGCTTCTAACCCCTGGACTCTGAGAAGACCCTGAAGAGCACATCTAAATGTCCACCTCTTTCTAAGATTGTGTAATCACTTATCAGTGGTTTAGGAATGGATTCCGATGCAGGAACTTGGGGGCTGATATAAAAAGTCCTGTTAGATGTAATAGGATTTGTCCTTTCTGCCCTGGAATGCTGGGTCTATTCTACTGCAGACAGGGGGATTTGAGGCTGTTGGCAATTGCTAAGAAAAAAATGAAACCGTATCAGGTTTAGGATAAAAAGGGGTTCAGGGTAGCAAGTGCCTAAGTGTGCAGCAGAGATCTGCTTCCATGTTCTAAAGGAACTTCCTCGGCTTCTTTGGATATGGAGAGGGAGCCACTTTCTTGAAGGCTAATACTTAATTTGCTGTTTCTTTCTGGTTTTGCTTTGTCTGGAGGGTAGCAGATCCTGAGAGCATCCCAAACTCCTTCAGACTTGGCACTCACTGCTTTGGCCCCTGAAGCAGGGTGGGTCCCAAGAAAGAATTCTCTCCTCTCCCTCAGGGTGCATGTGGGTGAGGTTGGGGAGGGGAACAAACACTTCAAGAACAAGTTAATTAAGTGGATGATTTGTGCAGCTAAGTTGACCAAGTGACGTCTGAATGTCCTAGCGATCCTGCGCTGGCCTCTACCCCCAACCCTCATGGCCCAAACTGAGGGAGTACAATGTAGTCAAATCCCAAGTCAGGTCCTGTTGGCACAGTTAGAGGAAGTGACATGGTGACAACAGGCACAGTCCCTATTCCCTAGTCCTTTCCTTCTCTCTCTGAGTCAAGCAATCCCATCCCCACCGGTGATTTGATTCCTGAACACCGAAAGGAGCACTCAGATATGGTCTGATTTCCTCATGCACACACTGTGTGTTTGTGGGTATTGGTTGAATGGTGGTAACTATATCAACCTAATATTTAGGAGAGTTAGTAGATGGTGCATTTGCCTTCTTTCCAGCATCTTATATTTCTATACATTTCCTGGTCTGATGAGTCATATTGATTGCTTAGCATATATTGGCATCCCAAACAATGAATCCGCATTTAATACGCAGTGGTTAAGATGCCTGCACCCCCTGGGCCAGAAGAGATGCAGGCTGTAGGTTTTCCCCCTTCTGTTTATCTGTACACGCACATGCCTATTTAAGGGAAATAACGGAAGTTCCTGTTTACCCAGTAGGTAGTCCTCCACCCTCGGACCTGTGTAGTTTGGAGAAGACCTCTCAGGAGTACCTCCAGTTACCCCCACCTCCCCTCCTCGGCCTCCCTGGATATCTAGAAGCAAAGATGGATGTGGCTCGTCATAAGCACATTTAAACATTGATTTTTGCCTTGGAAATCTCTCTGCACTGTTTTCACATGAAACTATTTCCCATCAGCCACTGCATTTGGGTACATTTGTCATGGTTTGCAGAAGCCGAGTGAGACTGAGCTCTTTGTTCGTTTGTTGGAAACCATGGCTTTGTGTTCTTCGTGGATATTGCCTCTCACATGCCAGGGCATCGTTTAGTCCCCACAGATGACTTTTTTGCACGGGAAGAAACTATAGTTCTGAAACTTCCCAAGCGTGTGCAACTTGGCTTGTGTTGGACCTGGGATTTGATTTGAGTCTGTGAGCGTCTTACGCCCAAGCCCTTTCCCCAACTGTAATCACTGGCTTTGAATTATTGATTTAATAGTCATTTCTACCCAAAACATTACCTTCTATGTCAGTAAGATATTTAGAATTGGAACTTCTGATTGGAGTACAGTAAAGTTCAAAACAGTACACATCTTCCCCGTCCCTTCTCCCTTTTGTTTTGCTTTGTTTGCAGTCAGAGTATTGATATGTAGTCCAGGTTGGCCCAGAATTCACCCTCATCCCACCTCTGTCCCCGAAGTGCTAGGATTACAATTGTCTACTACACACCCAGCTCTGTGCATTCTTCTTTAAAAGAAGAAATTCTACTCCACCTTCTTAAAAAGTAGACTTGCTTATGAAAGTCAAAGGGTAGAGGTTCAATTCCAGAAAGTTTGAAAATACAGCCATATGCAAGGGAACAATAGTCAAGTCACCCGCACCTTTCCATCCAGAGAAGACTGGGTGTTTTTAAATGCATTTAAAAGGCTGCATGTGGATGCAGCCCACAAGAGTCTTGAAAGGTTTGCTCCATGGAGCGATGTCTGTTTCCAGCCAGCCTGAGATGAACAGTGTTTACTCACAATTCAGAATCTTCTCTGCTCCAGCTTGGCCGAGCCTGTTTGCAGACGGTCTCATTACATAAACACAGATGAAGCTGTTCTGTGAAAAGATCAAAGATGCATTACCGCTTATTTCAGGCTTTTAGTTTTCCAGGTTTTTAATGTCTAGAGTCCCCCTGAACTTCCGCAGTTAACAAATAAAATTAGTCCCCAGTGACGCTCTCTAGAAAGGCTTGATGTATCGCCCCGTTTCGAAATGGCTTTGGGCTTATGCCGGCATTTACCCTTAGAGTTTGAGTATGCCTCACGGGTGATAATGAGTTCTAGTCGGCTGAAGGGAAGTTTTACTAGACAGTCTTCATGGCTGGACCTTTCGGCCAGTTCTAACCTGTCAGACCCGGCCACTAGGAACACGTCTCACTTTCCCCAGTTATCCATCTATAAGAAGAAAGGCGGGAGTGTTTTGTGGGACTCATTGTAACCTTTTTCTTGGACATCTTTTTTGACCTGCTCTGAGCCAGGGGCAGCACAGCCCCTGCCAGCCCTTCCCTGGCCTCCACTGCTGGTCTGTTTAGATCAAGCCATCCTCTAGTGTTCAGAGCCAGCCACCTGCAGCTGCTGCCTGTCCACTCTGTCCCCGGCCACCCCACAGACTCTCTCCACCCACATAGAAAGAGAAGGGCCTTTACTGCCCATCCCTGTTGTCTGCAGCTGAGGATGATCCCGGGGCACGGAGGAGCTTCATAAGCTTTATACTGGATTCTCCTGCCCTTCTGCCTGGCCCATTTCTGACTGCCCTTGGGGACCACACCCTAGGTAGCCAGGGGCACACATCCTATTCTGGACTTTGGTGCTTTGGAACCTGGAGAACTACAACTGATGCCAAAAATGACCAACCATTCCGGGAGACTCAGAGTCCTTGATACCAGTGGCAGTTCTCCTGCAAGGGCAGTGGAGGAGGGGGGAAGGGAGAAGACAATGGTGAATCTGGTGGGCTCCCTCTGTCCAATGTGATGTTTCCTCTTGCCAGGGGCTTGGGAGCACTGGTGAACCCGGAGGGCTCCCCCTGTCGGTTGTGATATTCACTTCTCATTTCAGCTTGTGTTGAGTGTTGGCTGGCCACCTCCCAAAGCCAGTCTTGTCATCATCGTATCTCCATCAGTCATGCTGTAAGAGCAGCGGAGGGAATAGAACTCAGAGGCTCTGGAAACAAGCCAGTGCTGGCTGGCAGAGCCTCATCAGTTACTGATGTTTCTAGGCTTCCTAAGCTTGGATGTGGCAGAGGCCCCAAGGCAGGTTTTCTCTAACTCTCCCGTCTCCAAACAAAGGCAGGTGAAGCCGTGTGGCCTTGCCATGCAGGTTTCTACCTGTCCCAACCCTGAGAGCACATCTGACTTCACTTTCCTCCTGTCCCCTCCACTCACTGCTCTCTGTTGTCTGCTGTGTGTTCATGTGACTCTGCCCTTCATTCTCGGGGCCAGTTTTCTGCTATTGACTTTCTTCCCACAAGGTGAGAAGTGCCTAATGTCCCCGTCAACGTGCTGTCTGATGGTGCCTTCTCTATTCTTTTCTGTCACTGTCTTTTACCTCTGTGGGCCACTCCCTGCAAGATCCACCAAGGATTTGGGTCTAGTTGTGGTCACATCCTCACGGACCTGTGTAGTGCCTGGTACT